ATTCTACCCCCCAAGTATCTCCGGGTAGGAATGGGAGAGATCTCTGGAAGCTGCTGCCTGTCAGTGTGCAGACACGACTGAGCTAGCTGGACCAGCGGTCTGACTCAGTGCACAGCAGCTTCCAATGTTCCTGCTGCTTGCAACCCGCCTTGGAAATGGCTGGTTGCAACAAGCATCGCACCCAGAGCCTCTCTCTTCCTTTTCCTCACCACCCCTCCAGCTTTGATCCTGGTCCCACTGAAACAACAACTTATTAACTTTGTATACCTCCCTATACCCCGCTGGTGCCAGTGAAAGGGAGCGCCTTCTGATCTGGCGGGGAAAAGTGGCTTTAAAGTGCCTTTATTTTGCAAAGCTCCCTTTTTGCAAGCATGGATTTTCTGCGGTCCACCCCCCACCCCGCGCAAACATTCCGCTTTCTCTGAATTCTCTCCCTCCCTCCGTTAAACTCACCTTCCCTTTGCAGCCGTTGCATTGCACTCTTCGGGCGATCTGCAATCTGGCGATCTTGCAGCTGTTTCCAGACTAGAAATAAATATACATATATATGCAGAACTTAAGAGAGATGCAGCTGCAAGGAGAGGAAGCCGGAAGAGCGGTCCTCCGAGATTTTGCATCTGTTGTGCCTTGCTGGGTCTCTCTAGGAAAGACATCTCGGTGCATTTAACCACCCCCACCCCCTTTGGGCTATGCGTAGGAGACGCTAAAGCAAGAGAGGGGAACCCTTTTCAGCCTAAGGGTTGCATTCCCTTGAGCTGAGTCGGGGCACAAAGCAGCAGTGGGCGGGGCTAGAGGCGAAAGAGGGCGGGATAATGAATGCAAATTTCACCTTTTCTGCAGTAGGGAGACACCTGGCTTCCCACTAGGGGTCATAGTGGACCACCAGCTGCATCAAGAGTGTGATGCAGCAGCAAAAAGAGCTAATGCTATTCTAGGCTGCAGTACCCAGATCAAAGGAAGTTATACAGTGGTACCTCAGGTTACATACACTTCAGGTTACAGACTCCGCTAACCCAGAAATAGTACCTCGGGTTAAGAACTTTGCTTCAGGATGAGAACAGAAATCGTGTGGCGGCAGCAGCAGGAGGCCCCATTAGCTAAAGTGGTGCTTCAGGTTAAGAACAGTTTCAGGTTAAGAACGGACCTCTGGAACGAATTAAGTACTTAACCCGAGGTACCACTGTAAAGGTAAAGGTCCAGTCGTTGCCGACTCTGGGGTTGCAGCGCTCATCTCGCTTTATTTGCCGAGGGAGCCGGCGTACAGCTTTCGGGTCATGTGGCCAGCATGACTAAGCCACTTCTGGCGAACTAGAGCAACACACGGAAATGCCGTTTACCTCTCTGCCGGAGCGGTATCTATTTATCTACTTGCACTTTGACGTGTTTCTGAACTGCTAGGTTGGCAGGAGCAGAGACCGAGCAATGGGAGCTCATCCCGTCGCGGGGATTCGAACCGCCGACCTTCTGATCGACAAGTCCTAGGCTCTGTGGTTTAACCCACAGTGCCACCCGCATCCCTTTTAAAGGAAGTTATAGTACCATTCTACTCTGCCTTGGTCAGACCACACCTGGAATACTGTGTCCAGTTCTGGACACCACAATTTAAGGAGGATATTGATAAGCTGGAAAGTGTGCAGAGGAGGGCAACCAAGATGATCAAGGATCTGGAAACCAAGCCTGATGAGGATGGGTTGAAGGAGCTGGGTATGTTTAGCCTGGAAAAGAGGAGACTGAGAGGAGATATGATAGCCATCTTTAAATATCTCAAGGGCTGTCACATGGAAGATGGAGCAAGCTTGTTCTCTCCTGCTCCAAAGGGTAGAACTCAAACCAATGGTTTCATTAGATTCCAACTAAATATCAGGAAGAACTTTCTGACAGTAAGAGCTGTTAGACAGTGGAACAGACTCTCCTTCATTGGAGGTTTTTAATATATGTTTTAATTTGGGTGCATTTCCCACCTTGGCGGCCTTCTGATGAAGGGCTTATAAAATGTTCTGATTAATTAATTAAAATTGGAGGTGAGTGAAGCATAATGCTCGCAGTACTAAGCTCTCTGGAGGAAAGGCAGCATAATAAACAGCTGTCAAGAGACAGAAATGCTTTGTGTACTGTTCTTCTCCAGCTACAGTGGTACCTCGGGTTAAGAACTTAATTCTTTCTGGAGGTCTGTTCTTAACCTGAAACTGTTCTTAACATGAGGTACCACTTTAGCTAATGGGTCCTCCCTCTGCTGCCGCACAATTTCTGTTCTCATCCTGAAGCAAAGTTCTTAACCCGAGGTACTATTTCTGGGTTAGCAGAGCCTGTAACCAGAAGCGTCTGTAACCCGAGGTACTACTGTACTATAAAAGGAACAGGAGTAAGTTTTGGGGGGAAAGCTCAAGCTGGAATAACACCCTCTCCACACACCCCAAGCTCAAAACAAGCCTCGGAATAAATTCACATCTTCTTTTCTGTTTAAATGTTGATATCTACACCCGGAGGCCAGCTTGGTTGGAATCCTGAAGAGAAGCTGTTTTCTAGGCTTGCCTGTGGGCAGCAACCTTATTCACCTGTTGAATTTCTGCCTCCGATACAGAACTGCTGGTGGGGTGTGTGAGGTTGAGAGCTGGCAGCCCCAACATCAACCTGAGTAACACTGTTTCCTCAACATGACTGGTTGCTTAATGGGAAATGATCACCACAGACCAAGCACTACGGGCCGCTTCCCAGCTGCAAGTCAAGTCGCCACCATCCTGAGTTTTCACCCTCCTCTACCACCAAGGCCAAAGGGAAGGCAAGCTGGTGAGGGGTCTGGCTTCTGGAATGCCTGTAGGCCCCGTTGCTACGGGCGACGCTTACAACAAATGGAACCCAAAGAGCAGCTTGGGAGAGCGTGATTATGAAGACATACAATAAGACAGAGACAGGAGGCTGGAGATACTTAAAGCATTTTTTGAAATCCCCTCTTCACCCTCCCACAAACAAAAGGGATTGCACCCCTCAGGCCACAGCTCTGTATTAATACTGGACAGGTCATTTTGGCACCTTCATTATATGTTTTTCATTTACTCAGTTCTTCTTGGACTGTTTTTACTCCCAGTCCTACTGAAGCAGGACCTGGAAAAAATCAGTTAGAAACTTATAAATGCTCCTCCCCGCAGAAATCTTTAGTAAAAGGCAATTTATTCAAACTGAGGTGAAGCCAGAGTATTCTTCCTGGGCTGTTAATATCAGCAACAGATGCTACTGCTTGCAGTCTATTCTGTTTTTACACTTCATCTGTTCTACTGCTGCTGGATATTTTTTATTTTTTATTAATAGAAAGTTTAGCTCAGTCAGTAGAGCATTAGACTTTTAATCTCAGGGCTGTGGGTTCCAGTCCTGCACGGCTGGGGGTTGTCCCTTCTACAATTATATATATATAAAATTCAAGTTACAGCAGCGATATAATTCAATAATGTACCAGGGATTGAACCAGGGACCTTCTACATGCAAAACAGATGTTATACCACTGAGCTACAGCCCTTCTCTAAACAGCTGCAGGGACCCTCCCATTCACACCAAGGAAAGATTGCAGGGAAAGCAGTTTCAAAGGAAAGTAATCAAGCCTAAAGGAAGGAAATTGGAGTGGCTTCATCAACTGCCTTGTTCTTTTCTGTTGTTAAGACAAGGCAGGTGCTGTCTTAGAGAACCCTCCCGTCCGTCTTCTGCTGGACAAAACACATCAAAGTGCAGCACGAAAAAGCAGGAAAAGGGAGACAAAATGCAACAGGTGCAAAAGACAAGTTTATTCAAATTCTATACACCAATAGGGAGCTCACTCTCCAAGTGCAAATCCTTATGTAGCCAAAACAACGCCATCTTTGCACAAGAGGGGCGTGTTGGCAAGTTCAGGGGAAGAAGCAGACAAAAACATTGGGGTGGGGGAACCCCAAACGCAGCACGGAAAGGTTGCAAGATATTCCACTGCAGGTGAAAAATGGAAAACTGAGAGTGGGAAGAGATGTAATAGAGTATCCTGGGAAAGGGGCATGGCTGGATGGGATACCAGACAGGCGCACACCCCATGGCGACATTTTGGATGCCTGGATATGCATCCCAATGCACTTCAAACACTGGGGTCTTTACCAGGGATGGGGAAAAAAGAATTGATAAACAGTTGTGTACAAGAATTACCCCCACAAGCAACTTCGGCTTCCATCGTCCTAATAGGCACTCTAGTGAGAGCAAAAGCTTTTTCTGGAGCTAGCCTTTTAGACCTCATACATCACATGCCTGCTTTTTAATCATTCTGTTTCACATAATATCATTACAGTGTAAATCACATCCATGCTTGAAGGCAAAATCAGCCCAACGATGCTTACGGCAACTGATGAAAAAGAGATAGAGGATGGAAGAACAGGGGTGCCATTTTGCACAAGTTCAGACAACTCACATGATGATGGTTATCAGGAAAAAAATATTCCAACAATCACAGCTTTACTCTTTTTTCGTCTGCTTGTTTCAAGGAGCAAGTTCCTAGGCCTTAGGAAAGAGTATTGGAGAAGGCTTCCTGAAATCTCTAAGTGAAATGGTACACTAATGGATCCTAAACATTACACGGCAGCTCCTCGAAAGGCTTCTCTCAGCTGTGCTCAATCCGCCTCGGAGAGGATTTCCCCTCCGGTCCCATGCGTTCGTTTGGGGCATCGCTCCGGCTGCTCCCTCTCCCGCCGCGCAGGAGCGATGCCTCTCTCTGGCTCTCCCTCCGCGCAGGCTGAGGGAGGGAGGGAGGGGCGCGTGTGACCCGTCTCTGCTGGGAGACCAAACCCAGCGAGGCAGAGTCGCGCGGAGGCGCCCAGGCAGCGCTGCCGGCTGCGAGGAGGAGCGCCAGGCAGCAGCAGGAGGCGCGGCCTCTCCTCGCCGCCGCCGCCCCGCCCGCCTCCCTCCAGGCATCTCGCGGCACACGAGGCAACGTCTCACGGCACACTCGTGTGCCGCGGAACACCGGTTGGGAAACACTGCACTAATGGATCCTAAAAGATATAAAAAAGGAATAGAATATATGAATTTGCAAAGCCCAGTTCTTAATAGAATCTGCCAGAGTTGTTGTATCTGGGATATGAAGGAATATTTTCCTCATTGCAGTAACATCCCAGTTCTGGAAAAACCAATGTGATTAAATGGGGAGGCTTTGACTTTGTTAATAGTGTAGACGGGGAACCTGTGGCTTTCCAGAACTTTGCTGGACTACAACTGCCTCACCATTGGCCATCCTGGCTGGGGTTGATGGGAACTGTAGTCCAATTACATTTAAAGGGCCATAAGTTTCCCACCAATTTGCATCCTTGTGCTTGCCAATAAAAACAAAACTAATTCTTTAAGGTCATCCCTTGGAGGAAACTGTTTCCATAGTCTGCAGAGCGTATATGCTATCTACAAACCTGGTTTCTCTCCTAATGGAGTATTATTTATTTAAAGCCACCAGCTTCTGTGGCCCCCAACAAGAGGATGGTAAACACAAGGTATATTTAGTTTTTAAAGGTACAGAAAGAAAGAAAAAGGTAAGGGAGGTGAAAAGAAGCAGATTCAATATCAAATTTTTCCAAGTTCTCATGAGAACTGATCTCTAGTTAAAACCTTCCTTGCAGCTGGAACATTTATAGGGTTTCTGCCCTGCCTGGTCACTTATGGGCGCTAGGAGATTGGGCCGCCTGACGATGTTTCGCCCACAGTCTGAACACTGATACGGTTGAACTCCTGTGTGGACGCTCTGATGAGTAAGGAGGTGTGAGCTGTTCCTAAAAGTTTTTCCACAGACCGAACATTTGAATGGCTTTTCATCCACACAAGTCCGTGTGCGTTTGACAAGATCTGAGCTGAAGTAATTGCTTCTGACGCACTCAGAACATTTTGACGCCTTCTCTGCCTGGTCTGACCGCTGCCTGAATGTTTTCCCACATTCAGAGCACCTACAAACATCCTCTCCTACGTGAATTTTCTGATGTCGAAGGAGAACAGAGCTTGAGGTGAAACTTTTCCCACAGTCTGAACAGATGTATGGCCTCTGCCCTGTGTGGATTCTCACATGGACAAGAAGGTTCGACCTCCTGTCAAAGGTTCTCCAGCAGTCTGCGCATCTGTAGGGCTTCTCTCCCGTGTGAATTCTCTCGTGCAACACAAGGTGGGAACTCCACCGGAAGCATTTGTCGCAGTGGGAGCATTTGTATGGTTTTTCTCCCGTGTGGGTCCTCTCATGTGATTTAAGATTCGGGACATTTCGGAAATTTTTCCCACAGACTAAGCACTTGTGCGGCTTCTCTCCTGTATGGATTCTCTCATGAATAATAAGGCTCTGTCTCTGGCTAAAGCTTTTCCCACAGTGGGAACATTTATGCTGCTTCTCTCCTGTGTGGACTTTTTGATGCGCGATGCGCTGCAAACTGTTTCTGAAGGTTTTCCCACAGACCGAGCATTCAAACGGCTTCTCTTTGTGGGTTCGCACGTGTGCCACCAGTTCCAAACTGACTTCAAAAGTTTTCCCACAGGCATAACACGCAAACAACTCATCTGCTGTGTGGGTCTTCTCATGTTCAATGAGTTCGGATTTCTGGCCAAAGCTTTTCCCGCAGTAGGAGCACACCCCCGTGTGGATCCTCTCATGAGATATGAAGTGTGAGCTCCAACTGAAGCACTTCCCACAGTGCGAACATTTATATGGCTTCTCACCTGTGTGGATTCTCTGATGTACTTTGAGGCCTGAGCTATTTCTAAAGTTTTTCCCACACGCTGAGCATTTGTAAGGTTTCTCGCCAGTGTGGGTTCTCTGGTGTTTAAGGAGGTCTGATCTCTGACTGCAGCTTTTCCCACACTCAGAACATGTGTAAGGCTTCTCTCCTGCGAGGAGCCCCTCTTGAGAGTTCCAGCCAAAGGTATTTCCACAGTGCGAGCACTTATGTGGCTTCTGTCCTGTGTGGGTTCTCTCACTTTTGCCGCAGTGGGAACATTTGTACAGTTTCTCACCCACATGGGTCCTCTCGTGCGTCACAAGATCCGAGCTGCTACTAAAGCTTTTCCCACAGTGCCAACACTGGTATGGCTTCTCCTCTGCATCAACACTCTCATGCGTAGTAAGGAGTGACCTTCCCACAAAGTTTTCCCCAAATTTGTCATATTTTGCCTCCTCCTTATCCTGCTGGATGACGGGTTCATTGGCGCCTTTGCAAACACTTTGTTGGAGAACAAATGGATCCATTCCATTTTCTTTGTTGTTTCCATTCTGCCTTTCCGCTACATGTTGGTTCCCATTAGCTTCACACTGATGCAGGAAATCCTTCTCTGTGGCTGTTTTCAGCGATGTCTTCAGTCGCTCCAGTTGCTCAGGTCTCTCCAGCAAAGGATTCTGATCCTCGCTTTTCCTGAGCCACCCACCACCTTCTGGAAGAAAGGGGAGAAGCCAGACAGGAATCAGGCATTGCGCTAAAATTAAGGAAGTAGGTAACAAAGCACAAAGCACCTTCAATGCCCTCCCATCAGATTTCAAGGAGATGAGTAATTATATAACGTTTAGAAGACATCTGAAGGTAGACCAGTAGGGGGAAGCTTTTTAATGTTTATGTATTATTAACTTTTAATATTTGTTGGAAGTCATCCAGAGTGGCTGGGGCAAATAAACAAATAAAATTATTATTATTATTATTATTATTATTATTATTATTATTATTATTATTATAGCTTATCTCTTTCCATCTGCTCTGTGGTATCCTTGGGAAATTGGTAACTCCTCCTGCCCCCTTCAATGTTCTACTCTAGAAATTTACCCCTTCTTTGTGGAAGAAGGCTTCAGAAACCCAGATTGCATGAACTATCAGGAATGTCACAACTTCCAGGCTAGCTGCCAGTGAAATCAGAGACACAGAGAACTTCTGATAGTTCTTTAATTTAATTCAACAGAATACACAGAGAGACTATGGATTATGCTGTCTTCAGTCTTGAGATGTTACTGAGAGCGCCCACTCCACCCCCTTACAGCTTCTAAGCCCCTCCTTGCTGCCTATGGTGACAGAATATTTCTGTCTCTGTTTAGCCTTCAGCTCTAAGATATGAAGGAATCACCTGGTCCTCGGAGAAGGAGGGGGTTCTACCAGGCTTTCGAGGGACATAGTATCCACTGTCTGCTGTACTGTTTCTCCCACATCTGAGTCCTGTCTCTCTGTTCAGGACTAGAGCATCTGCTAGCTTGCTCCAGCTCCTCATCCTCCAACTCTTTGCTGCTGCTTCTTCTTCTGGGGTGTGTCCTGTTCACCACCACCATGAAATTGGGTCCATAGTATCTCCATCCTGCTCCTGCCCAGACACCTCTTCAGGTGGAGGTCCCCGCCATTCCTCCTCATCTGCCCAGATCATCAGAATGCCTGCTTTTGTGGGATGGCATCACGGTTAAGATCCTAGGCCAGGACTGGGAAGATCCAGATGAAATCCCCACTCACCCATGAAGCTAACTAGGTGTTACAATGCTGTTCAAAATTGACTCGCTCTTAGTCCAAGTGCATCATTCTCAGTTAGGGTGACAAGCCACCTTCTCCACACTTTTATCTCCTGTTCCCTACAGAAGAAATAGGCCCTTTATTTAACACAGGCCAGATTGGGCAATGACCAATGCTCAGTCCATCTGTGGACAGTTTTAGCAATTTAATACATTTATACAATGGTCCTCAGGTCTGTGGGGTGTGACTTAGATATGGGAAGACAAGTCCATCATTTTAGATGAGGCAAAGTGAGAAAGCCAGAGACTAACTTGCTTAAGGAACCCCACAGTGCTCAGGGGGACCGTCCCCAGAGAGACTTACTCAATATGTTCACACTCCCATCAGCCTCCTGTTCAGCCTGTGTGAAAAGCAGCATCTCTGTCGTGTTCTGGGGAGACTGGTTTGCCTTGGGGAGATTGACAAACTCTTCTTCTGTGATCTGGAGAGGTGAGGTTAAGAGAATCAGTTTAAAGTGACAATAAGAGGCAGGCAAAATGTTTTAGGAAGGCATATTTAAGTCTTACAAGGACTTCCATTATCCCACCTCTTGTGTAGAAAAGAGACAAAGAGGGAGAGCATTTAAGAGCAACTTACAATGATTAAAAACCGCTGCCAGACCGCCTGCAGTTCTTGGATAACTTACAGAATTGTAGAGGTGGAAGGATCCCTGAGGGTCATCTAGTTCAACCCCTAACAATTCAGGGATCTCAACTAAAGCATCAGGCAGAGAACACGTCCTCAGAACCCAAATGCATGATGGAAACAATTGCAAAGGGGTTGGATTAGATGCCCCCCAGAGTCCCTTCCAACTCTACAATTCTAGGATTCTATTAAACTGTATTTCACCAGAGATGATGGGAGCTGTCCTACTTACTCTCCTCCAGCTACTGAGCAGCAGCACCAGGCTACTTCTCACCCCCCAGTTCCAAGGCACTCTCACATGACAAACTAAAATAGCTCCTTCTTGCTGGCAACCAAGCCACTGGCTTGTCAGGGTGCACAATTAGGGTTTTGTGGTTGTGAACACAAGAAGACCCAAGAGTGACTCAAAGACACCAGTTTAGAAATGTTGTCTCACCTGCTTTCCCCAGCTGTTGGCCCCTTTCTGCCTCAGAAGGAACTCCTCCGCCAGGGTCACTGCTTGGGAACAGCTCCCTGGGTTACGTTCCCTCACCCAGCTCTGCATCTCCAGTGGCAGGACAGCCAGGAACTGCTCCAGGGTCACCAGTTCCAGGATTTGCTCCTTGGTGTGTCTCTCTGGCTTCAGCCACTGATGGCAAAGCACCTGGAGCTGCCTGCAAAGCTTGTGAGGCCCATCAGCCTCTTGATAGCAGAGCCCACGAAAACACCGGCGCTGCCTCTCCATCTCGGCACCATCCCCAGACGGAGTTCTTGCCTTCTGCTTCCCACTGCAAGCTGCATCCAGATCGGTCTCATGGTCCTCTTGCGCTTCACCAATGAGTCGTGGCTGGATTTGGGAAGCACACAAAGATCTGGGCCACTTTTGGGGATCCAGTTTTCTTTGGGAGAGTAATTGAGATGTTTTAGGACCACACCATTGCCTCAGCTCAGGTACTTGTGGGTTTTCCCCTTCTGAATATGTGGCCTGTAGCGTACTGAGGAACTCCTGCAACTGGGCATCCCAATTCCTTGATGGCCCTTCATCTGGTTCCTGTTTCACATTTTGCTCAGTTTTCTCAGAGAGAGCTTCCTTGATCATTTCTGGAAGAGCCTGCCCTCCCTTTCCCTCTTCTGGGTCAGGACCTGCCACGTTCTGCTCCTCCATTTTGATTTCAGGTTCCATGCTTTAGCAGAGATCCACCAGTCACTGTCTCTTGCGTCACAGTTGTCTCCTCCCCGGGGGACTGTCCTTGTTGTGCTGTTTGCTGCTCTCTCTTTCAGCACCAACCCTTGAGGGCTGCCTCAGCACTCTTGCTAAATCCTTGAAGATCCATCAGCTCAAAGTGACACAGCAAAGCATCTGAACCTTTCAGCAACTTGAGGGAGTCAACTGTTCTTTATAACAGCCTTCTGTTGCTATGGAAGAAATGTACATAGAAGGAAAATAAGACAACCTACTGTAATGCGGGTGAGAATGCATGGGAATCTCTTAATGAATGCAATGCAGTCATGCAGTTAGTTTCTTCCTCAACCCCCAAAATTCTGATCCGATTTTCAAGCAAACAACCTTCCCACTCCTACAAAAATACTCAATATACATTATGTGTTACCTTCCCCTCCTAGCCACTTCCATTAACCTGCTGTGCTCACAATCAAAGTGATGGAAACCTTCATGGTACATTTCTGATAATGGCAGTTATAAGTACAGGGAGCACTGCAGGTGCTGTAGACCAGGACACTTCCCCGCAGCCTCTATCTATCATGGGGAGCAGCTATAGTGCAGTGCTAGAGAGCATTCCTTGCATGAAGAAGACCTTGAGTTCAATCCCCAGCATCTCATAATTCAGATAGTAGCACCAGGAAAGACAAACACGCAGCTGCTGGATGAGGCCAATGGCCCTCCTAGTCTAACATTCTCTCAAAACACCCATGTCATCCAGCCTTCTCAGTGATACGCCCCTCCTTTTGGAATGCTTTCCCTGGTGAGGTGCATCTCTCTCCCACCACAAATCAGTAACTTTCAGAAGGAATTTTAAAACATTCCTGATCCCCCCAGGCATCTGATGGGTAAAGCGTGCTAGGAACTGCATTAGCTGTGAGGACATGCTATTGTTTTAAAATCTCTTTAGATGCTGTTTAGATACTCTTCGTGCTCTACAATGTTTCAAAAGTATTTTATTTATGTTTTAAGTTGTATTGCTCCTTTGCAGCAGCGCATATACAAAAAAATCTCCCTCGTATGAATTTTTGTCCTATAGCAGAGCTTCCAGGTCACCAAGATTGCAAAAGAAGAAAGGGCACTTTTAAAAAAAAAGAGAGAGAAATAAAAGCTACCTGGCAAAACCTTGCACTCTCTCCCCAGTGCCTCTCTCGCTCACCTGTCTTTCTAGTCCTCTGCATTTCACTCGCTGGGGATTTGCAACCCCCCTCAGTCCTTCCCAAGCTGCAGAGACCGAGCAGAGAATGAAAGATGCTTCTCCGATCCCAGGGAGAGGACCGGAAAGAAAGAGCCTTCACTTTGGCATCTCCTCTGCTCACGTGACCGTGACCGCTCTAGGATTCAGAGCTCTGCGGCCTTAACCCCTTCGAGTGCGCGCGGCTGGGCGGCTGAGAGCTGCGTCCCGCTAACCGTCAAAGGAGCGGAGCGATGGGTACCTTAAAGAGCCTGCAATTACTTTTAAGTTTGCAAAAAGTGTGTTCCTTTCATAGTGATTGCATTTGGGGTGACTCTGCTTTAAGGCTTGCTCGCTCTCTCTCTCTCTCTCTCTCACACACACACACATTCACACACACACTTCTTAAGATGCCCATCCAAGATGACTAACTTGGGTTTGTTGACACACTTTTAATCACTTTTTAAAAATGAGAATTTGCTTTGTTCAACTACACACACACACACACACATTCACACACACACTTCTTAAGATGCCCATCCAAGATGACTAACTTGGGTTTGTTGACACACTTTTAATCACTTTTTAAAAATGAGAATTTGCTTTGTTCAACAAATGCAGGAAGACAGGCAGAAATGACTGGCAGAATCCGAGACCAGGGAGAAGAGTCGGTGGAAGAAGATTGGAAGAAACTTAAAGACTATCTACAGAAATATTGTAAAATTAATGAATGATAGAATGATGTTGGATAGCAATTAAGGGGTTTCCAGCTGTAATGCTCTAAGAGAATATGAAAAAAGGGTTATAAATGGGTTAAAATCTAATGGTAAGGATTTGCTGAACCAATAAATTGAAGTGGAATACAAAAAAGGGAGGTATGAGGAGGTCCGGGAAATAAGCTAAAGGAAAATAAGTAATAGAAAATATGAGTGTTTTCAACTGTTTTTATTATTTTTTTTCATTTTTACTGTAATATTTCAAAAAATCTTAATAAATATTTTATTAAAAAAAAAAAACAAATGCAGGAAGATACCCCCTCTTCTTTCTTCTTCTTATTTTTCTTTGGTGATCACTCGTAGCCAAGTAAGATTGTCTTCCATGAACACAGTCTTAATGGTGTGTCCGTAAGTGACTGTGGAGGCCAGTTCTGGACCCACACATCCTTCCGCAGTGCGTACATAGGTTTCCGGGCATAACTTGATTATGGTGAGAATTTGCCTTCCTCTTAGCGTGTTTCTCCCTGTCGTTCTGAGTTCGAGCGTCTTCAAAGTCCATGACGCCTTTGGTAAAGGCTGTTCTCCAATTGGAGCACTCGCAGGCCAGTATTTCCCAACTGTTGGTTTTATACTACATTTTTAAAGACTTGCCTTGAGAGAATCTTTAAACCTCTTTTGTTGACCACCAGAATTACACTTTCCATTTTTAAGTTCGGAATAGAGTAGTTGCTTTGGAAGATGATAGTAAGGCATCTGAACAACATGACCAGTCCTACAAAACTGATGTTGAAGAATCATTGCTTCAACACTGGAGATCTTTGCTTCTTCCAGTACACTGGCATTAGTTCACCTGTCTTCCCAAGTGATGTGTAAAATTTTACGGAGACACCGTTGATGTAATCTTTGGAGAAGTTGGGAGATGGAGTTTATACGTGGTCCATGTTTCACAAGCATACAGTAAAGTTGGTAGTATAATAGCTTTGTAAACAAGCATTTTGGTTTCTCTGCGAATGTTCCGGTCCTCAAACACTCTGTGTTTCAGTCAGGAGAAAGCTGCACTCGCAGGGCTCAGGCGATGCTGGATTTTAGCATCAATGTCGGCCCTCCCTTGTGGAAAGGTAGGAGAAGTGATCAACACTTTCCAACGTTACACCATTGAGAGGGATTTATGGTGCTGCAGAGGGGTTGTTTTGTGCTTGTTGGTGCAGTATTTGGTTTTTTTGGATTTTGAGTGATAGGCCAAGTTTTCCACAAGCTTCTGTGAAGATATTTAGGATGGTTTGAAGGTCGTCCTTGCCAGTGGTGGGTGGGGCCACAGGTACAAGTGAGTGGAACAATTCACGTGAATTTTACCTTTGGTCAGCAGGCTTGTTTCTGCACTAAATAATAATTGCTTATTCAATTGTATTCTACTTTCTTTGCCTTCTTGCTGCTGGATGCTGTGAGCACCATCTAGAGGAGCAACTGAAAACAAGCTCAACAAATAAAGAATAAAACTGTTTCTGCCTGGTTTCGAACCAGGGACCTTTCACGTGTGAGGCAAACGTGATAACCACTACACTACAGAAACTGTGCTGTGCCTTGGTTCCCACCCTCCAGCTGAAGACCAGCCTTTCCTGTGTCAATCCACCGAACCTTGAGCAGAAAAGCCCACATTCGCAAGGTCTTCAGCTCCCAGGAGGAAGCCAAACAAAAGTGTTGCCTGCTGCACCTGCACCACTGATAGTACAGGATGCTGAGCAATCAAGGAGAAAGAGCAACATGAGGGAAGGGAGGAGATTAAAAAACAAAAATGCTGGGAAAGGAAGAGAAACTGAAACAACAACAGAGTAGATTCCCAACCCCTAGACTCAAACTGGTCCCCTGAGACATCACCATTTCCCAGGGTGGATAAAAATGAATTTTTATATGTGTGTGTGTGTGTATAATATATATAAATAAATATATATTAATATAATATAATATAATATAATATAATATAATATAATATAATATAATATAATATAATATAATATAATATAATATAATATAATATAATATAATATAATATAATATAATATAATATAATATATATATATTTAAAATCACCTTGGGTTACAGACGCTTCAGGTTGGAGGAAAAATCATTCTAAAGATAGTTTTCCATTTCAACAGGAAATAAGGATTTCTTTTAAGTTTTTCATATGAGCTTAAACTCAATCTAAGTTTTTTAAAAAAATAAGTTTAATCACATCAGTTAACAAACATTGATGCATATGCTGTAATGTTATTGCTTTAGTTAAATAAATGGTTTAAATTGTTATTAAGGAAATTATTATTTTTCTCCTTTCAATAGAGTACAGCAGAAAAGTTGTTCAAATATAAACAGTTAACTTATTAAACCTCACAATAATTTCATAATTGTCTATGTATTTCTAATAGTACAACCAAATCAGTAATTTTTTATATAACTGTAAAAACTACTCCGAAAATTTATTATTCCAGAAACAAAACCTTCATCTGGTTGTAAATATTAAGATTATACCAGCAAGAATGAGTTCTTTTGTAAAAAAAATAAGAAGATTTAAATCAAGTCTTACTGACTAGTGATTTAAATTGTGAGTTTTTCCTATTAGGGACAGTGTCCTAGAAGGCTTACTGGTGTATGAAAGACACAATGAAATGTGTGTTAGGAGGGAGTTTTTTAGCACACAAAACTGGGTGCACATTAAGAAGTTAAAACTGAAAACCAGATATGGGAGGGGATTCCGCTGAGCCCACACTTAAAGTTGAATCTGCCTCATTTGCCCTTTGTGCTCAAGAAGCAGACTGAATCACAGCCACCCATCAACATTTGCAATTCTCTGGATTTTCCAGTGCAGTTCTCCAGCCAAGTAATATGTGCAGCAATTAATCAAATTAGAGAAAATTGCTTTATAAAATGTGTATATGGGGGGGGGAATTACATAAGAGGAGAAAGTTCACACTATATTGCTGATGAATGTGGAAATGTGAATAACTGAACTTAAGATTGGAAAATTAAAAACTGAGAAAACCAAAACTGACTGATTCAGCCATTCCTACCCAAAACTTTGGTGTGTGCCAGGCAGACTGACATCAGAGAGCCAGGCGTATCCATTCCAGGGTTTGAAGGGTCTTTCTAGCGTGGTCTGTGGTGTGCAATGATTTCTGTCCTCTTTTTCCCTCTAGGATGTGAGAAGTACCTTGCAGAGGTAAGCGGCTCCTGCTCATTTCCATTAGCATCACTCTGTGAGGTCAGAAAAGGTCCAGGACCCCAGTATATAGAGGCTGTAAGGCTCCACACCCTACAGCATTTGATAGGTAAGCATCAGATCTCTCTCTTGCTTTGTAGGACCCTTAAGGGCTGTCACATGGAAGGTCAGCAAGCTTGTTTTCTCCTCCTCCACAGAGTAGGATTTGAACCAATGGATACATGTTGTAAGGAATTAGATTCCAACTCAACATCAGAAAGAGCTTTCTGACAGCGGAAGGACTCCCTCTGGAAGTCATGGGCTGTCCTTCATTGGAGGTTTTAAAGCAGAGGTTGGATGGCCACTTGTCATGGATAATTTAGTTGAGATTCCTGAATTGCAGGGGGTTTGACTAAATGACACTCAAAGTCAGATTCCGCTGTATGATTCTATGAATGGACTAACATTGTTTTTCTTTTCACCAGCTATGAGAAACGAGAGAGATTGGAGAAGACACTGGATTTCCCTCCAGAGCTGAAGAAAAGGATCTCGGATTTCTGTGATATAAGCCCTCTCTTGGAACGTGTTAGGAAGCAATTCAAAGGTAATGAAAAATGGCTGTAAGGATTTTATGTGGGGCGTTATAATTAGTCCAGAACTGAGCATTGCATTGTGTTTTGTTTTGTTCCTGCTGCAGACAGGGGTATCCCCCGTGATGCTTGCCTTCCTGTTGCTGCAGCCATCATTTAATTTCCCCCGGGATGCCCCATAAACATTGTCACTCTGGTGCATGGGGGGTCGGAGGAGAGAAATGGTGGCTACCGCAAAGAGAGGATGAACCAAAGTGCCTTACAAGACCATGATTTTCTGCCTAATGTGTGTCTATTAACAGTTAAAGGTAAAGGTAAAGGTACCCCTGCCCGTACGGGCGAGTCTTGACAGACTCTAGGGTTGTGCGCCCATCTCACTCAAGAGGCCGGGGGCCAGCGCTGTCCGCAGACACTTCTGGGTCACGTGGCCAGCGTGACATTGCTGCATCTGGCGAGCCAGCGCAGCACATGGAAACGCCGTTTACCTTCCCGCCAAAGCGGTCCCTATTTATCTACTTGCACCCAGGGGTGCTTTCGAACTGCTAGGTTGGCAGGCGCTGGGACCGAGCAATGGGAGCGCACCCAGCCGCGGGGATTCGAACCGCCGACCTTTCGATCGGCAAGCCCTAGGCGCTGAGGCTTTTACCCACA